TGGCTGTGTCCACACCTTCTCCCAGACCTTCTCTGTCTACACTGGCTCTCTCCACACCTTCTCCCAGACCTTCTCGAACCCTCTGCACCGACTGCTCCATTTCCTTGCTGTCCTCCTCCATCTTTTCCCAGTTTCTGGAACTTCCCCAGGTCCCTCCTTGGACCTCTTTCTGTCACTCTTATCACCTCTGTGCTTCACCTGTCACTGTGGTTTTTAATGCCACGTGTATTCTGATGACTCAAATGACTATTTCCAGGCTAAAGCTTCCTCTGAACTCCTGAACTGTGTATCTGTCACCTCACGTGTCCATTTGGTCCTCTGCTAAGCATATCAAGCTTACCATGTCCAGCACCGAGCTCCCAGTATTCTCCCCAAGCCAGTTACTCCTCCATGTCCCCCAGTTAACAGCAATACTGTTCTTGCAGGGCCACATCCTAAGCTGTCACTCTTTGCTCCTCTCAAACGGTCAGCAGATCATGTCAGCCCTGCCTCTGAAATACAGCTGACATTTGAGGCTGCTCTCCGTACTGTCACCGTGCTGGTCCAACCCACCACCCTCTCCCCCAGGAGCCTCCCCACTGGTCTCCCTGTGTCCGTTGGCAGCACGACAGCCAGACTGGCCTATGGCAGCCTGGTCAGCTTGCGCTGTACCTGCTCGCACCCTGCTCCGCCGACCTCATTTCCCACTGAGTAAAGGGTGAGTCTTGGTGGTCGGGGTCTGGATGCTTCCTGCTTCTCCCTGTCTTCGTCGTCTACCCTGCTTCTCCGCAGACCAGCTGCGGTGGACGTCTTGACTGTGTCTTGAGGGCACCAGACACTGCCTGCCCCAGGCCTGTGCACCTGCTGTGCCCTGCCAGCCTGGAGAGCTCTTCCCTCCATAGCTGCGTGCACCCCCCACTCACTTCAGTGATCGCCCTAAAGCCCTGTTATCAACGAGGCCTCTTTCCAGCATCCTAATTAAAATTGCAGTTCCTTCCCTGCTCCCATCCTGTAGTGTTTTAGTTTGCACACTTCCTGGTGTGTTATTCAATCCTGTCTGTCGTCTTTCTTTCCCCCAGAATGACTGCTGTACGGAGTCACGGATCTTGCTTTGTTCAATCTTGGAGCCACAGTTCTTAGAACAATGGGGAAACGCTGTAGGTCTGGATCCATAGTTGTTTCATAGATGAGTGAACATAAGTGTGGGCAAGGGCACGTCTCCCCACAGAGCTCTCTTCCACCACCGTCCTTCCGTCATCCTCTGAGTTGAATGATTTTCCCTTCTTAGCCACAGCACTACTGCCGTCTTTAGCCAATAGGATTTTCAATTACTGGGAAATGGCAGTAATAACTGTAGCTGTGCATTTTAACCAGTTGCTCCATGAGTGCTCATGGGGTAGCAAGAGCTGGCTATCAGCAGAGGCTGAATTGTTACTAGAAGAGAGAGACTGGGGGCAAATAGCTCTATTATTTACCAACTGTGTGACTCTGGGCAGTTGCGGAATCTCTCCGGACCTAACTAGAGACAGTGTCACACACTTCTCTGAGCTGCTGAAGGCTGTGTGTTCAATGTGTGCATGATTGCAGACCTTGTCCTGCTGTCACCAGTATAGAATAATTTCATGAGAAAGGATAGTTTTCATAGCCATAATGTGTCTGTACACTTTTGCAAGCATTACAGATACTGCTCCCGTTATTCCCTGCGAGGGTAGGAGTGAGCCTGTATCCATGGGGAGAGTGGGACAGAAGGATAGCACTTGAACAGGTGGGACCCCGTCTTAACTGCTCCGTGGCTGACTCGAGGGCGGAGCTGGCCAGACCCAGTGGTGAGTTTGGCGGGCTGGCTGACAGCTTGTGCCCCCTGATTTCACGACCACTTTGCTTTACATGTGGCTCCCAGATACTTGGAGGTTAAAAGTCACAGTCTGGTGTAACAGGAGGGGCCTTGTCCCCTGGCCTCTTCCTACCTCTGCCGTCTACATCCCCCCAACCAGTTGGCCCGTCCACTCTCACCCTTGGGTCTCCCCATCTTCTCGGTGCCATCGGCTTCCTGGGATGTGGACGCACCTTCCTTCCCGGGTCACCTGACAGGTCCTCACTTGTCCTTGGAGACTCATCTCGCAGTTACTCCTGGGGTTCCCTCTTTTCCACCCCTACAGGAAGAAATGCCCCATCTCTGAGCGCCCACAAAGCCCTTTGCTTTTTTCAGTTCCTGCATCACGACTCTGTGTTACAGCTGCTCCTCAGCGCATCCCTTGTCCCGGGATGTCACCGGGCCTTGACCTGATGGATGCTCAATGGAATGTGGTCGTGGGACTGAGTGAAGCGCAGCCCTTGTTGTCAGTTATGGGGTGAGGGGGGCAAAGCCATTTCAGTTGCCTATGCCGCCTGCCACGTGGACAAGGAACTCGGGGTATTCAGAATCTCGAGACGCGTAACCGCACCTCGCACACTAGCCCTCAGGCCCCTCAGGCCCCTCGGGGTCGATCCGATGCTTCAGAGGGTTCAAGGGACATCCTAGCTAGCCTGACGCCAGAGGATGAGAGGGACCTCCTGTCACAGGTACAGCCCAAGCCCCACCCAGCAGGGCCACGGGCAGGACCCACGGAAGCCGCGGCCATCAGGAGGGCGAGTGGGCAAAGGGGAAATGGCTGGCCTTGCTCCACAGCACGTGGTACGCACAGATGACATTGGGGTGGCACGTACCATGGGTCTGTGACGGGGTGTCACAGGAGAGTCACCGTGTGACCCGGGTGTCGCAAATGGAACAGGGTCAGCTTTTCCTCTCTCACGGCTGCTCACTGGGACCCCCACTTCTCTTAAGGCCTGCCCTGTGCAGGGCCCCCCGCAGCCTTCCAGCGTGGGGTCCCATGCCCGGGGGATCTCCAGATAACCCTGGCTTCTGGCCTGGAAAGTCTAATGAGTAAGACTTCAAGTCAGCCCCGCGAAGGCTGAGAAAGTCGGGGGCCGGGGCGGTGGAGCCTCCCCTCTGCCTCGCACTCTCCTCCACCGACACTTTCAAAATAGCAACCGTTTCCTCCCTCTCAGCCTGCCCCTGGCCAGCTGGCTTTCAGGTGGTCTACCACAGCGGGCCCCAGCCTCCCCCCGCACCCCAGCGGAGGAGGAGCTGGCTCCCACAGGCAGGAAAATCACCTCAGCTGGCCAGCAGGAGAGGAGGTGGAACCCAAGGGCACAGCCCAGGAAGCCACAGGTCACCAGGGGCCAGTCTAAATGCTGACGGAGAGGTGGACAGGACTGACGGTGTGGAAACTTCTGGATCCTCGACTCGGGGTCCCGCTGCCCTCCTGCCTCTGAGCCTGCCACCGGCACAGCACCTGGCCTCTGGCGGTCTCTCAAAATGTCACGTCCATCATTGAGTCAGGGAAGGGGAGAACACAAGCTCGTCCCCAGGAGGTGGCCGGGTGCTTGCTGGCGTAGGAACAGCAGAGGGGAAGTAACTTGGGGTGAGCAGGAGGTGAAGGAATAACGGAAGTGTACGTCCAGGCAGCTGCTGTGATGGCCACAGAGTTTGCAGTACGCACCATCACTCAGCAGATGCCATCTGGAGACATTTTATGTCACAATGAAGACCTAACTGGGGTAGGGGACGACGTCAAGGGTCTTGGGCTTGGATACTGAGAGACAGTGCCATGGCTGCTCGAGGGCAGGGCCATGGCCCTCACAGGTAGAGCAACCTGGAGGTGTGAGTCAGGGGAGGGTGACCGGCCGCAGGGACGGCATGACAGCCCTGAGTCAGCAGAGTCCTGGATGCCACTGATCCCTGCGGGAGAAGCCAGGTGCTGGACAGTGGCACCCGAGGTTCTACGGGAAGTGAAGACTGGGCGAGTTAATTCTCTGCCTCCTGATTGAGGGAACCCAGGGTTAACTTTTGAGAAGAGCTGGCCGATGCTGGAGGTTCTGAAGCCCCGTCCACCTGCCTCTGCGCCCCGCCTCCGTGGCACTGTCACCTGGGTTCTCCCTGAAGTGGGCTTCCAGACGGCCTCGCTCTTGCAGAGAGAAGGAAAGGGACCCTGTGGCCTGTCATTAGCTGAATCTCAATAAGTTCCCGAATGTGCCTTTGTGATCCAAGCTCTTAGGCTTGACTCAGATAAGATAGTTTTGTTAGACACTTGTTGTTTGCCTGATTCCACTCGGATTTTCTGAAGACCACCTCCACCACCCTAGATAGGTGTTGGCGAAGGGCAGCCAGGTTCTCATAGTTAGTTCTCCCCTGTGACAGGGGTTCGATACGGGAACCGGCATTTCATTCAGTGTCCCCCAGGAACTTCCGAGTGGGCCTAAGGATTCCAGTGTGGCTGGGACCTTGAATAGACCCAGTGGAGTCCAGGTGGCTGTGATGTACCGCGTGTCTTGTGTCCAGGCAAAGGAGTCTACCCTGCTGGGACTGGAGAGAGAAGCCAAGCCACCTGGGGTCTCTCAGCTGCTCCCGGCCTGGGAGCTTCTCTGCTCGGTGACAGCCTTATAGCAATTCCTCCTCTGGAAACTGGTCCCAGATATCCTGTTACCGCAACCTGGACAGCAACTGTCAACCCCTGTGGCTTCAGGGGCAGAGGTCTGTGCCTCTATTCTGAGCCACATTCCATCGCCCTAGAGAGTGTCCTTAGATGAGGCTCCCGTGGCATTAACAGCTGCAGGCAGCATGTAGGATCAGAAGAGAGCGCAGCCCCTTTGGGATTCAAAGTGTGTGGGTGCTTGATGAAGATGTCACCTTCCTTGTATTCTCAAGTAAAATCAAGCAAGACACTTGACTTCATAGGATTTTTTTCCCAAGAAGAAAAGATGTTAGGGATTCCAAGTTAACATCCCAAGACTGATCAGACTGTAGAAATGCTGAAGTTGAGATAATCAGGCCCGAGGGAAAGGCGGTGTGTGGTAAGGCCCAGGGCAGCCCAGGCACCTCACACTGTCTACGGTTTCCACGGAGGGCACCGTCACCCTGCACAGAATCCAGTCCAGAGACGTTCCAGGACCAGGACTCAAAACCGCCACCATCTGTCTTTTCCCTCCTCCATGAATCCTTCCTTACAAAGCTTTTTGAAGATGCTCCAGGAAGACAAGGAGGGTAAAGGAAGAGAGGGGCCCATGTGGGCCCCGTGAGGCAATGGGTCTGACTCCCAACAGCAGGAGTGGGCTCCCGCCACAACCTTGGGAAGCAGGGCTCACGGGAGGGCTCCTGCCTGGACAGAGGGCAGCGCTTGGCCAAGAAAGCCAGCGTTAGTGTTGTTTGCCTATGAGACATTTAAAAAGAAAAAAGTGACATTTAAAAGAAAGGTCAATCAAAAGCTCCAAGGAAAACAAATCCCGAACAAAGAAAGGCATGAAATAATTAAATATCACCTGGATCTGCAGTCGCAATGCTTTAATGTTCCCAATAATATAGCCCTTAATTATTTTTCACAATGAAATAATAAAGCTTGATATTCAGATTCTTTAATTTACAAAATCATTTTAGACATCTTAAATAAAAAAGACAGATTACCTGGAAGGTTCTACATTCATCTGTTTTCTGTTGCTATGGCAAAACACCTGAAGCTGGATAGTGTGTAAAGAAGAGAGGTCTATCTGGCTCCCAGTCTTGAGGCTCAAGAGCGAGTTGCTGCCATCAGCCCAGCTCTGGTGAGGACCTCATGGAGATGAAATCAGCGGTGGGGCTTGTGTGGGAACCAGGGATCATCTCTCAACATAGGGAGCCGGAGAACTGTCCAGAGGCCAGGGTGGCTTTTTCCTTTTCTTTTTTTTAGTTTGAATATCCATATATATTTTCACAGATGATATAGTCCTATATGTTTATATAGAGATGAGTATACCTTAATGGTAACCAAACTCCTGCTCAGACATCTCTCTATATATTTTTATTACACAATCATACACTATAACTGAAACAAATTGTAAACATGCATCTCAAAATAAAAATAAATATATACAAATTTACATCCATTTAAATATTTCCATGTGTATTTTTACATATATATTCATATTTGTATCC